GATTATACATCGTAACATGATATGTTTGTATTTAAAAAAGCATCAGCAGAATAGATCTCCTTTAATTTAAACATGAGCTTTACATGATGGAAGTCAATGAAATGTGTCAAACTTAAAAGTCTATCTGCGTCACTGATGACGTCTTGTTTGGTCTTTGGTCCAGACTTTGCATTCGTCTTACACAGCTTTGAGCCAAAGAGGAATCTATTTCTTGCCATTAATGCGTCACATGACTTAATGGAGCAGTGCGTAAGATTTCTTGACATCGAGCAGCGACTATAGGATAACTTAAAGTGGCCTTAAAGCACATGAAGGCATTCTCTCTGTGTCTTACACACAGGTCTTTGTAAGTGTTATTTATAAGACATAAAACTTTCTAACTTTCTGGGGAGATGCAGGGTTTCTGTAGTAAATCTTGAATCAGCATGTTTTCTGTAGTTTCATAGTCAAAGACAAATCAATGTTTTGCACATTTTTTACTTTGTCATCAATATTAATTCATTTACCGGTAAACTTTTTCTTGAGTGATATTGTACAGGCTCTCTTCAGATGTGATGACTGACCGGTTGATCTGAGTCCAGGATGTTAAACCAGAGGACAGGTGTGAGACTCAGTCGAGTGTCGGACTCTTTACATCCTCTTTAATCAGAAAAGATGAGCATCAGTGTTCCCAGCAGGGAAGCTATCACCCACTGAATACAAAAATAAAGCCTGGATACTCTCCAAACTCACTGAATAAACGACCTGGAGAAAAGTTTCCACGACTTGTCATCAAATGTGATTGAGACAACGAGGATGGGGAAGAGTGAGATCTGTTTTATATCTTTTTGAAACAGTCGCACGATGGTTACAGGTATTATGAGTCTTAACAGCTTTCTTTGCAGAGTCCTGCAGACCGATGCACTTTCATTATAGAGAGTAGGTTCAGTGAAACCATCTGCGGGGGCTGCACGCTGCAGGGACCAGCCACCTTGTGATGAAACGGCCAGCCTGCCCTCCACACCTGCACTTCTCCTGATTGTCATCTCATCCCTTTTTTCTTCTCCCGCTCTCTCCAGGCTCTCACCCAGGTGACAGTTTGAGCACCGCCTGTCCAACCTCCGGCCAAACAGAATTAAAGAAGAATTAAAAACTCAATGAGCCTAATAATTAAACTTTAATGGAGGACATAAAGCAACTTTACACCCTTTAAAAAGCTATAGGCAGACACTATAACAGCAGCGGCGAGGTGGTTCGTGTTCCCTAGAATTGCAGACATTTCTCTTTTGCAGCCCACGTATTGCTGCCGTCATGACAAAAGCTTGCTGCACAAATCTTTTAGTCTTACTTCAGCTCAAATTATAAACTCATAATATATTTAAAGGTGACATATCCTCCTCCTCCTCTTCTTCAGTGTAAATAAGTCTCAGAGCTCCTCAAAACTTGTGTGAAGTTTCTTGTTCTAAATCCACTCTGATCCTGTATTTGATCATGTCTATAAACCCCTCTATTTCAGCCCTGCTCAGAACAGGCTGTTTCTGTGTCTGTACCTTTAAATATGTAAATGAGCTGTGTCTGACCACGCCCCCTCTCTGGAAGGGTGTCTCGGTGCTTTCTCGCTCCATGTCCTATTGTTTATGGTGAGAAGGCAGACTCAGAGGGCAGAACAAACACCTAGCTGTGGGAGTGTCACCCACCTGGGGGAGGGGCTACTGCCCTTTGTGATGTCATGAAGGGAACATCTCCAAACGGCCTGTTTGAGCACACATTTTCTGAAAAGTGGAGCAGACAGAAGACGGAGAGGATGGACTTTTCTCATCATTGGGGGGATTGTAGACGGACTAGAGACACATATTAGAGTTAGAGGAACATGGAGAAGAGGATTTTGTGACCTTTAAATAATGTTGATGTTGACTACAAACACACACCGCATGCAAGCACAAGCCTAGGCGGTATAATCACAGCCAAAGGCAGCAAGACAAGGAAATCACAGGTGAATGTGGACGGGGAGTCAAGAATCAGAGGAAGCCAAGTTTTTTGGGTCCTGTCATGTTTTTAAGAACCTACTCCATGAAGGACAATGACTTCCTGTTCCCTCCAGCGACCTTTTGGCGCTAGATAGCCGCTACAAAACCTCCTGAGGTTCAGCTGACGTCCAGTAAACACACACTGATACACAAGAAGTCGACTGAGTCTGTGAAGAGTTCTTTTTACACACCAACCTTCCTCCACTTTAACTCAAATTAGCATAACTAGCACCCTTCACTTCATGTCTGGCTCATGTACTGTAAAGAAGAAAAAAAAAAGGCCTTCTGACAGTTTATTAACCTCCAGACTTTTCTGCTTTCACATTGTTCCCAAAGTGCCACACACTCCTCAGACGCACGTCTCCTGGTTTCAAGTTCTAAATTAAAAGCAGCATGAGAAAATGGAAGTCCTGCAGGCTACAGATCGGAGGGCGGAGAAAAGATGAAAAGAAAGAAAGTGGAACAAACTTTTTCAGAGATGTTATCAGAGAGTGTTTCGTTACCCAACATCCGCAGTGAGCGCTCACATGCGAGGAGCTGAGTCGCTCGCTGAAAACCTGGAAAAGAGCCACTAAGACCCGAGCACGTCCCGTCTGCTTTCTGACTATTATTATAAAAACACAATGTCACACTGTACAAACACAGATTTGCATAGCAACATACTGATGTTTGTGAGCAGAGCTGTTAAAGCTGGTAAACAAACCCGGACAGAAAAGTCCAGCGCCGTCATCTTGTTTCTGATTCGTTCCTCCAGCAGGACAAAGAAAACCCGGTCCTGCACAACACCATGAATAGACCCGCAGAAGGCCGACTGCAGAGACCTTGTGAAAATTATAAAAAGGGTTTCAGCAATCCCTCCAACCTTTCAGCCGCTCAGACAGCCCGCTAAACAGAATGAATTGCCTTCTGGCCGACGTGCAGCTCAATCAGAGGCTGGACGTCTGGCAGCATTAAGCGGCGCTGAGGTGAAAACGCTGGCCTTGGATACGCTATATTCAACAGTTTAACTGTAACACATGCAATGTTCCCTCCTCCACCTCATTTCCATTCTGATGAGCCCGTATTCCTGTCACTCAAGATAAACACACACAGCTCACCCATTCAGATACTTTCACCTTAATTTGATGTTAAAGGACGTAAGAGAGAGAGGCTGCTGGTCGGATAGCAGAGCGATCAAAGTGGGACCAATGAACACCTGTCATCTGTATGATCACACAGAACACCAGCATGCTGTCTCAGTGACGATTATAGAGCCCGACCGATTCATCGGCCGGCCGATAATATCGGCCGATATCAGCACATCCAGTGACTATCAGTATCGGCTTATTTTATCGCAGATATTACTCGATTTATTCTCCAGTCAATATCATTTCATTTGAGCCTCGTTGTGTCAGACAAGTAGTTCTCTTTCTGTATGTCACCAGCAGAGGGCGCAATATTGATTACAACAAGCATTACAACTAGGGCTGGAAATCTTTGGGTGTCTCACGATTCAATTGGATTTAGATTCTTGGGGTCATGATTCGATTCAGAATCGATTTTCGATTTCGGTTCAAAACTATTCTGGATTCAAAGTCTATTTATGAATTAGTACATACTTCAGGATCTACTCTAGTCATGCTCTATTTGACATTCTACCGAGTTAAAGATCTAGCATTAGCACTTAGTAGGGAGTGACTGATCAGCCAAAAAAAAAAAAGATTTTTGGAAGTTCTCAGAAGATCAAAATCTTGATTTTTACATAAAACGATTTTTTTTCCCACCTCTAATTACAACTCTCCAGAGTGTTGAGCGGTGATGCACGTACATGCTCAGTTACTTTCCAGCTGAGTCACCATCTTGTCTTCATTATTAAAGTGTTTGATAACTGCATCTGATGGATCAACACAATAAATGTGTATATCTTTATCTATCTCTACAGACATCTAGAGACATCTAAGAAAGATATCGGCCGATATATATCGGTATCTGATTTTTTCCTCTAATATCGATATCAGCCCAAAAAAACATATCGGTCAGGACCTTGACGATTCACAAAACATCTACAAGGAGCATAAATTAAACTAAAAAGAACACAACAATGCAAATGAACACGAAGCAGTCGTCCCAAAAGACAGTGAAGAATCAAACTGCTCAGATTGTGTCATAACTCCTGCAGATATCTGCTGCAGACTGGTTCAAAATGTAGACAAACAATCCTTTTACTAAGGAGTGTATTAAACTGAAACATGATGCTGCAGCTGATTCAGAGTCGTCAAGTCAGTTTCCTCATCAGGGCTGATATTTACATAATAGATTAAATTCATTAGCCGTCTCCAACAGAGCAGTCTGTTCTGCACGTCTATTCATCTCGCATTAATTATAGAGGATTCATTTCACAAAGGATGCACACTGCTTAGCAGATGGGTACTTCTGCATTCACACGGACTACATGATGAAGGAAAAGTTATGAAAAGAAGAAGAAGAACATTTTTATACACTGCAGCTTTACAGTGTCGGTGTGGCAGAATCAACTCTGTGGCTGCAAAATGTCCCGAAGCATGAGCTGCAGGAGCAACAGGTAAAAGCAATCTTTTAGCACCTCCCGACTGTGTGTGTAGGTTGTGACAGCAGAAGATTACATAACAGTAGCGCAGATCTCTGGGAAAAAGATTTTCTGCGAGCCTTCTCTGATTGAGCACCGTCTCTCTTCTCACCATCACAAACCTTTTTTTTTTTTTTTTTTAAAGTCACACACAACAGCATCTAATATGTGATCATATAAGATGACTGCAGCTCACAAATTCAAACATAAAGACAAAAGGAGGAGAGCAAACTTAATTCACGCCTCCTTCTGTCAATAACCTTTTGCTCCATTGCGTCAGAGAAAGAGATGGAACAGCAAACAGCTTTCACAGTGAAGTAATAAAGGGTCAAATATAATCCAAACAATCAGAGCATTTCAGCGTTTAGGAGGCAAAACAGCCTCAAGCGGATGTTCCCTTTAACACCTCCTTCAGTCACTCATCATCACTTGTGCACTTCCCTCAGCTCGGCAGCAGAGGGCAGCCAAGGATAATTCAAAAGCAGAGCTGCCTTCAAGCAGCAGCAGCAGAAGGTTGAAGAGCTTGTAGGTTCCTTACCAGCGTTGACGATGGCGTCCACCTCCAGCACGGTGATGTCTCCTTTGTAGAGAGAAACTTTGTCGGTCAGCCCTCCTCCTCCTCCTCCTCCTCCTCCTCCTCCGCCCGTCAGCTCCGTCCCTTCCTCTTCCTCTTTGTCATCGGCTGAAAAAAACACAGATTACTTTAACTTGTTGCATCGATTGAAGAAAGAAGATTAAAATAAATAAATGTGATCATAATGAATATAAAATGTAATAATTCAATGTATCCCATTTTCCTATAATGTATTATTACAGGAACTCACATGTTAAAACACTAAACTATTTGATTTGTTATTTAAGCAGGTAATTAACCCATTGAGGTCCAGATCTCTTCACCGGGGTGACCTGACCAAGAGGGCAGCAGCACACGTCATGATAAACACAACACGATGAAGAAACAGTTTACAAACTAGAAGTTAAGGGAAAACAACAACATGTGCTAAATGGTTCACAGATAAAACCCAGAAGTTGAGATCACAGATTAAAGTTCAGAAACCCATCAGGTACTGTCCTATGGTCTGGTGTTTTCTGTCCTTTAAGATCGAGCCAAAGGCTTCAAGTGAAATGAGATCTGCTGGTTTTAAGTCATTCTGGAGAAAGTTCCCAGCAGGGGGCAGCAAAACTGAGCGCTGACGGTTTAAAAACATCACAGGAACATGAGGCAGAGGGGTTCCTGGTTCTGAACTGTTTCTATTTCTTTTCCTGCTCTTACCTTCTTATTGCTGTTCTCTTTTGATTTGCTTTGAGCTCTTTTAGTTTCTTACATCTTTTTAAATCTTTGGTCCTCTTGGTCTCAGCTCGTGTTGTTGGGTTCTTATGATGGTTCTTGTGTTTCCTGGGTTCTTATGATGGTTCTTATGATGGTTCTTATGATGATTCTTATGATGATTCTTATGATGGTTCTTATGATGGTTCTTATGATGGTTCTTATGATGGTTCTTATGATGGTTCTTATGATGATTCTTATGATGATTCTTATGATGATTCTTATGATGGTTCTTATGATGGTTCTTATGATGGTTCTTATGATGGTTCTTATGATGATTCTTATGATGGTTCTTATGATGGTTCTTATGATGGTTCTTATGATGATTCTTATGATGGTTCTTATGATGGTTCTTATGATGATGTTCTTATGATGGTTCTTATGATGGTTCTTATGATGTTCTTATGATGTTCTTATGATGTTCTTATGATGGTTCTTATGATGGTTCTTGTGATGGTTCTTATGATGGTTCTTATGATGGTCTTATGATGGTTCTTATATGATGTTCTGTGATGGTTCTTGTATGATGATGCACTTTGATGGTTCTTGTGATGGTTCTGTGATGATATGTCTGTTGTTATCATGCACTTTGGGTTCTTTTCTGTTGAATTGTATTTAATTATTTTAGTATTTAGTATTTGTTTGTTCTTGTTGTTGTTTATGTTCTTCTGTGTTTGGTTTAGTTTGTTCTTGTTTTTGCTGTTTGTCAAAGCACTTTGTAAACCTGTGTTTTTAAAAGGTGCTATAGAAATAAAGTTATTATTATTATTATTATTATTATTATTATTATTATTATTATTAATAATAATAAATAAGAAGGAGACTCAGCCAGGGTGTATACCTGCTCACCTTCAAGGGTGGCCAATCAGATTCAGTGTACAGGTCACAGTGCTGAGGAAGTCTACAACCATATCACAAATCTTCAGGAGCAGCGATACATGGTGTCCAATGAGAAACTATCAAAACTTTAAAAAACATTTTTTACATTGTTCCTTTGGTTTTAATTCTCTCAAGCAGGGGTGAGAGTAGAGCCAATCACTGATAGGAAGCAGGGAATCCGCTTTTGTTTCATTCTGGGTCTGAAGGAGAACTCGTCAGCTCGGAGCCTCTAAGACATCCATGAAAAGTTATTACACCTCATTTAGAATCACACAACATACTGAATGTAATTTTACCTCGAGTTCAGTGAGCAGAACTTGTAGTACTACTTTACTTGTAGTCTGTGCACTTATGCTCCTTGTCTATGCTTATACTGTATATGCTCCTTGTCTGTGCATGGTGCTTTTGTCTGTGTTTAAATGCTCATGTATTTAAATGTGCTACATTTTTATTTTATGTCTGTGTGCTGCTTTATCAATTGCTTCCATGCGTATGTGTTATGTTTTAACTAACACTTGTGTTGTTTTATTTGTTATGCTTATGTGTTCTTGTATCTATGTTTTTGTGCTGCATTTTCCGATATGCTTTTTAATGTTTTTTTAAATGTCATCAACCTGTCAGGGACTGCAAATGAAAATTAGCCTGCATGGCTAAATCTGGCACATTTACATGTGTGACTTCATTGCTCTTTTTAATTAATGTGCGTTGTCCCTTTTAAATAAAGAAATCAAATCAAACTGAAATCTCTGTCGGTTTGATGTCTGTGTATGCTTTGCTGAGATTAGAATATTGTATGTTTTAAAGCTCTCATCTCCTCCTCACACAGAACATGATCCTCCTGTGAGATCAGGATCCCATCAGAGTACTCACACTGCGTGTTCTCCCAAATCACTGATGATGCTCATTCTGTCACTTATTGCTCTTTTGTCTGAGTCGAGAAATATGCTGCTTCATTCAAAGTCTGCCTGATGACGACGACACAAGCCTTTCATTTAAGTTTTGGTACACAAGAATGAAACTGGGTTCTGACACATACTGAAGAGCGATATTGTGATCAGGTTTTTTTCTTGTATTGGACTGGATACAGATTAGATGCGTTTAGGCACAAACCACCCCCAATTCCACACAAATGATCAGGGGGCGTGGTCTAGACTCTAAATACTAATGGACAATGCCTGATTGATGTCACCCACTTGTTCCTGCAGGGGGCTTTGTCCCATCGATGGCGGTCTCCATGCTGGAAATGCTGTCTCAGTCTAACTTTCAGTCAACCTAACGACAGGCTGAGAGCTGGAGCTGAGGCGGGTTTTAAACCTCCTGACAAACCGTTACACCGCGCCCACCTGTCTAGAGTGGATGCTCACGCAGGTCACCATGTGGTGGACTCTGAAGCTTCAGTGTTTATCCAGCTCTGCATGGGTCTGTAAACCTTTCTGTGTTCTAACCTCTCTCCATTTTTCAAAAGCATCTCCAATATTGATCCTAGTTTGAGCACGTTTCTGCTCGTGGAGCTTATTAGAAACATGCAGAGGCTTTTTAGGTCGGGTACGATCACTTCTATCTGAACCACTTCTCTTGACCGCTTCCATCGCTGCAACACCTGTTGACCTGATAACTGCTCTCATATCTGGCAAACCGAGGGGCGTCCAAAACAGCTGTGTGGGGGCGTGTCTTAAAAGCGCCTACCTTCTCTGGTCCAAACAAATCCAGAGCATTCAGGAGCAGAATCTAAAGTTAGAAGGAGGACATACTGGCTGCTGCATTGTTGTCAGAGAAGCCAGCACTTCAACATAGCATGTTTCCTTAATGATCAGATAGTAAGATACCTTTATCATCTCACTCTCTACACATCTCACTGATTGGACCTTTAAGATCGAGTATAAAACAGCTAAGCAGATATCAGAATTATTAAATATTTATTTTTGAAACTGGGTTGTTTGAAAAATATGACCATGATGTGTCCATTTATCAACATTCCCAAACTGAAAAGAGATCCAGAATTTAAAATTCTCATACGTTTATTTTCCTCTCTCCAGGTTGGAATCTTGTCCAGAGGTATGAATTCTGGACGTCGATAGTCCTTGCGTCTCTCCTCCCGATCCAGACGGAGCAGTCTCTCTGTGGGAGGAAATAACCACACATTTAGAGGGAATAAAGCACACACAAGAAAGAGGACAAATGGTATTGACAGGTAGTTACTCCTCTAACATGAATGTCCTTCTAAACCCCTGACTTTTCACTTTATTTTCTCCATTAACTGCTTCAGTGCAAATATTCCCAATTTTTTCAGAGAGTTTAAATGCTGCCAATAACGCTTGAGCAGACGTTTAATGCCAGCTGGCAAAACTGTTTGGAACATCAAGAATCCTAAAATAGTTTTTTACTGGCTTAGCTCAGACGTTTTCTGGACCAAATTTGTAAATGATTGAAAAAAAGTTTGGAGAAGTAAAACTAGCATTGGAAGCCTCAACCTGCAGAATCCAGGAAAAACGCTATTTTAGTTCTGAGACTAACTGTTCCAAAGTTACAGGGTTAAATTTCAACCAAAATCAACACTGAACTCCCTTAACTCCTCTGCAATACAACCCCTGAGTTTAACGTCGATTGTTTGAATTATTCTCGAGATATGCCAGAGACGGAGAGACAGCTGAGACTCGTACGCTGATGATCTCACTCTTTGCTTCTCGACACCAAATTGTCAAATCTCCAACTAGACCTCCACTGCTCAGCTCTACTGCTGTCCCTTTTTCAAGTCTGAACGAATTTAGCATATGATACCGTAATGTTCGAACACATTAGAATTTAAGACCCGGCCATGTTGCTTTCGCCTCAACATAACTGTCTTCATTTCCTGAGGTCAAGAGTGCATGCAATGGTCATGTTACACTGACAGCGCCCTCTGCTGGATCACACTGCAAACTACTTCAGACCACCTGATGTGCTGATAGACTGTATATTCTTAATTTGAACGACTCATTAAAGTTTGAATGTGAATTTTTTCCCCCAGGTTTGAATGAATGTTCGAATTTCAAATAAACAATGACAGTCCTACTCAGCTGATACTATCATCATCATCAAATTGTCTTGATTAAAAAGTGATACTTAAAGTTACACTCTCTCAGATCCCTGTTTTATTATCATTAGAGATGAGGAGCTGCAACCTATGGCCTGAACTGAACTTGTACATGGAATTTCTTCTTTTTTTAAGGATTTGCAACTTCTAAAGATGTTTCATGTGTGCACAGTGGTCGCCCATGTTTTCTTGTTTTGTCATGCACACTCAAAAGGTAAGCAGAGAGGGGAAAATGACATGAATGACAAAATGACATTAAGTTTAAATCATGGAGGGACGCTAACAAAATCCTTTTTGAAATATTGCAAAAGGAAGTGCCTTCATCAGCATTGTGTTGCCTCATGTCCAATTGAATTTAACAAAAACAGCAACCAAAGAGCACACTGGAGCTGGATGACTTTCTTAATAATAATAATAACAGGGTGTCTTATTTATCTGACTGCTCGTCTTCACTGATAAAGTAACCATGTGCAGTGATATCGAAAACTGGGGATGCATCGTGATATGATATGGAATCAAAAGGTTGACAGGATAATTGTGATCGAATCTTGAGACCAGCCAAGGTGCACAACCCTGTGACCTAACAGGTCAACCAGGAGAAGGTCCAATAGTAACTAGCTGACAGGGGGAATATCGCAACCTACTGTAATGGACATACTTCCATTGATAAATCAACCGACCCCCAGTTTCCCCCTCAGTCCAATTAAACGGCCTAATTGAGCAATAACCTTAGCTTAAACTGTGCATGTACACGTACTGCATGCCTGTGAAGCAACGACTGCTCATGGAGCATACAGACTTTATCCTTCTAGCTCGTCCTGTATTGTTGCCTGAGCTCGGTGCAGAAAGATGTCCACACTTTGTGAAGTTACATATTTGGTTTTACAGCAGCTCCCTACATAATTGGCATCACAGCTGCTGCTTAACCTCTGCACTGCTGTATCTCTCTTGGGTTCTCACAACATGTACATCTCTAGTCGCTGCAAAAAGAGCCTCAACTTTTCTTGTGTTTCTCCAGACAACACTGTGCTGTTCTGCAGATCAGGCTTCATGCTAATTATGTGTGAAATATCTGCTGTACAAATACACCAGTGTGGGCTTCGGTTAATTAGAGAATCCCTTCTGTGAAACGATTTCAGCAAACTGGAAGTGATCTGACACAACACAAAGCATAATAATAGTCGACTCTTATTTGGATCTTTTTTCCAACAAAATTTTGAGCAGTAGGCTTTGATTCTTTACAAACAACAACACTCTCCATTGTGCGAAATCGACTTTTTCAAACAGACCAATTTGGAGCAGACATCACAGTAACGTCACCTCAGTTGTGTGAAGATTGTGGTGGCAGAAAACTGGCAAAGGTAAGAGGAGAGAAACACGATTTACCCAGCCATACAAGTAAAGTTCTGCATCAGTATGTGGTTGTTTGACTACACGTCTTGTATAGCTTGGATTTATGGCTTTACTGCTGCTCAGCTCGGCAGTACGGTGGTCCATAAAACACAAAAACAATCTGATGATTCTCAGTATTTAAAGTCTTGGACATGACCACAGAGTACTAAACTGTTAAGAGATTTTTATGCCTTTAAGTTTTTAGTCTTAAGTGAGTAAACACTGGGTTTCTCCACAAGGTATACAATGATCTGTGTGGTCTGTGTGACTCTGTCGTTTAGTTGACCAACTGCTCGACAGTGAATACAGAAAAACCATTGCTAAGGGTTAGCTTGTCACTGTAAAACAATCTCCTAGAGGAAAATTCTCTTTGACTGGTCTGAATTTTGTATGGAAAATTCCCAAAAGTGAACAAAGACTAAAGAGCCACGTCTTCAAGTGGTCTCACTAGGGTTGTTTGGACCGCACCAGTGTCGGGTCGACAGCTTTCACACCAGTGCAGTGTTTCCCCTACCATTATAATGGGGGGGCGGCTTTTTGGGGCTTTTTGTGCCTTTCTTATAGAGATAGGATAGCGGATATAGTCGGAAATCAGGGAAAGAAGTCATTTAAGGATACCTTTCCAATAGAAAAAGACAGCTGTCATTAAAAGTAACGCATGAACACCAAGATTCCTTCAGGTCGTCGTGTCACCGTGTCGCCTTGTCCCCACCCCCCCCAACGCTGTAAACCTAGGGGAAACACTGCAGTGCAAATGAACCGCTCTAATTTGGCAAACCGACTCAGTTTCACCAAACCAAACAGGTCAGGTGTGAATACAACCTTTGTTTAACCATTTAGTCTGCTAAACGCGCCCTTAGCGAGTAATACAACTTGTCTTCCTTCAATATAAATAAAAATAAAAAAAATAAATAATAATAATAATAATAATTTAAAATAAAAATTATAATTTAAAATAAAATAAAATAATAATAATAATAATGCATAATAATAATAATACAAATAATAATAAAAATAAAATAAAGAAATATTTAAAAAAATTATTATAATAATAAAATAATAATAATAATTTTAAAAAAAAATAATATATATATATATATATATATTTGGAGAAGGCGTACAAGTGGTCCTTAACTTTCTTCAACCAGTTGGCTCTGCCCACAAAACATCTCATCTCACTGTGTACAAACACAGAAATGGTCTATAGAGGCCTTTGACATATTAGGAAAATTGGGGTTAATTATCTCTCGGTTTGAAAAAGAAGGTTCCTTCGGTCCTCTGTCAGTTACATCCCACAGTGGGTCAGACTTTAATTAAAGGTAACTCTGCAGTGAGGGATATCCGCTCCGTCCCTGGTGTATTCCTCTCTCCTTGGCGCTCCTGTCATTTCCAAGGCTGCTTTTATTCTACATGGATGAATAAAAAGGCTGTTCTGAGGTTGAACACAGATAGTCTCTCTGGACTACATTAAAGTGCATCTGCTGAACTTTTAGTCGTCGAGGAATCCCACAGTTTAGCGTGGATGCTATGAGAACATGATGGGCTTCATTAAATATGAGTCCCAACCAGATCGTGTTACCGGAGCCACGGGCAAGATCCCGTCTGACTTCCCCTGTACCTGACGAGCTCGGGATGGGAGGGAAGCTCGCTGTAATGCTGCAGACTCTGAACCCAACTTGAGTGATGGGAAAACAAAAGCAGTGGCTGCCTGTCACATGACATCTAAATTTATGTAGCCTTTTAATACTATTTATATTTCTCATTTGTTTCCTTTTCCTTTTGTCGTCAGACTTCAGAGAAACACAAATTCCTACTTGTTTTCGTGCCTTTTCTAAAATAAGACAAACCACAGGAGCAAAAATGACTTCCTAAATTAATTTGTATTTGTTCTAAATATTTCAATTTCAGCCGACCTATAGCCCCGCCCTCAGTTAAAACACTGTTTTATTAAATCATTATTTTTTTATATCAAAATCTTTGCATTTCTGGATTTCCTAAAACTTATGAAACATGTCTTTATCTTCTTTTGGCTGTTTGCCTTTATTCAATAAGACAGTGAATAGAGTCAGAAACCTGGGACAGAGAGTGGGGGATGACAACAGACTGTAAATATTATTGGATGAAGCCTGAGTGACGTCACCCGTCTGTCCCTGCAGGGGGCGCTGGAGTCCCATCGATGGTGGTCTCCATGCTGGAAATGCTGTCTCAGTCTAACTTTCAGTCAACCTAACGACAGGCTGAGAGCTGGAGCTGAGGCGGGTTTTAAACCTCCTGACAAACCGTTACACCGCGCCCACCTGTCAATCAGGTCAGCTACACGCCTTATTGTGAATAACTCTTATCCTTCATCAAATCAAAACTGATGAGTCATCAAAACATTCACCCCCCGTACAGTGTGTGTCCATCCAGACATGAGCTAATCACACCTATTTGGTTTTTTGAACCAGGCTGTAAACATGTTCATCTCTGCTGTAAAAACAGGCTTTTTAGAATGGATGTGTATGTGACTTCCTGTGCTTCTGCAGCCAGCCTCTAGTGGACACTCCAGGAACTGCAGGATTTTACACTTCAGCATCGGCTTCATTTTGAAACACCAGAGGTTTTCTCTTTGGAATGACATGCAGAAAAGGAGCCACTGGGTGGACTTTAACCCAGGCTATTTTCTTGTGGACAACAGCCTCTGTACATGGGGCGTGCAAACTAAGCACTGGGCCATTGGCGCCCCCCATAGGTGAAACAAGTGAACTGGAGGCTCTACGGAGAAAGAAACTCTTGTCAATGTAAACAATATTGTCTTACCCTATATCTTAATTGAAAATATATCGACATATCTTAAAAACTAGATATATTTCCCAGCCCTAACAACCACATCAAAACAACATCTTTATTTTCAACAGGACGATGTGATTATCTTTGGCGCTTTGCCTTCAGCGAATCACAGCCAGGCTGATATACAGAACAACAGCACACCCTCTCGTGATTTCATACAGCCGTCTTAAAAGCAATATGCACAGTAAACATCAGCAGATTATTTTAATTTCCTCTTAGATCAGTTATTTATTCAGTGTCATCAACACAACTTGTTTTACCACTTAACTGAAACGGGACTGAAGCCAAGTGTCACACAAACCTTCTCCTGCATTCTGGCTTCATGTCTACAAGTTTCAGCAGACCATATTATTTCTACCCGAACATTTACAGATTGAGCCTGTCGACAGGAGGGCTGTGCAAATAATCATCACAAAAACATCTTTATGGCGATATGAGCATCTGCACTAAATATATCTGCGGAAGTCTGAATTCATTGTGATTTTTGTGTGTGTGTAAACAAGCAATGCTTCCTCCCTCAGCATGACTACAATGTACATATTTACAATGTTTGAACACCATTCTGATGCAGTCAGAGGAAGTTTAAACTAGCCATCAGTTCCCCCTTACCCTAAACGCCTATTTAGTGATGATTATGGATTCAGGAGAAACATGTGGCAAACATAAAAACTTGTAATACTAAAACTGTGAGTTATAGCTGATATGCGCTCTTTGATATAATTTATTTATCTTACTTCATAACTTTATCGCACACTGCTTAAAAGAATCATCACTTATAAATTAAAGGCAAACACAAAATACGCCATGTTTAAATAGCTAATGTCTGATCACTAATGTCAGCAGGTAGCTCCGCCCCATGGATGACCTCAGAGGTGCAAACCCCTGCTGGACGGCCTCCATTGTCGCCCTTTGTTTACTGTGTTGCATTCTTCTTCTTCTTCTAGCTATTACATAGCTAACACCACTATGCTATCAATATCCAGATTACACTCCGCTTACAAAGTGAGGGTTGAGCTGCACTGAACCAAACCGGGCCGCTTGGTGGGACTGGGTAATTAATCCAATTTCAATTTGGATTTTGTCATCCGACGATCATGAAAACAAGATAATCGAGATTAAACGATTACCGTGCCGCATGCCGTGCTGTGTGTTCATAATGTCAGTGTTAAGAGAAATCATACTTAAAGGCACAGTATGTATATTCTGCCACCAGGGGGCTCTCACTCAAAACAATAACATGACCTTGAGGCTGGCGGGGAATCATGGGAGTGATTCTCTAAGCTAGCTCTATACAGCTTCTTTTCCCGTTCGGGGTCATGGGGGGGTGGATTCCATCCCAGCTGCCATTGGACGAGAAGCGGGGGTTACACCCTGTACTATTCTCCAGCCAATCACAGGGCTGACAAAAAGAGACCGACAACCAGCCACTCGCAATTTAGAGTCACCAGTCAACCGCCGTGCAGCCCAACATGTGTTCAGTCCATTCTTTTAACGTAAACATCGTCATGTTTACAGATTTCTGCAGCCCTGCCGCTTGGTGTAAACAGGGCTTAAGGGTTCATGTGGACAGGGTGGTTTGGGTTGGACCCAGCATGAACTAATACCCCAGTCCGCCCCTGCATGGTAGGAACTATCTAAATAAAAAAGGGGATAACTAAACATGCTTTTCTCTGCACAACAACAGGTCCATATGTGTGTGAAAGTATTCAGACACGTCATTCTGTCCTCTAACAACAACCTTTCAAACTATCACACACTCTGTCCCTTTCATTGAAAACGGCCTGACTGACTGCAGTTGCAGAAAACGGGGCTGCAGGTGTCTCACACAGGTGGAAGGTGGACGACACAACACACACATCAAGAGGCTGTGTGCACCGTGAGTGGAAGCTAATACAGCAGGCATGGGGCGAAAGTGAAAGCTGACACAAACATCATTGTAACATCTGTGCAGTCACAGCGTGGGGTCTGCAGACCCGTCTGCAGGATTACACGGGATCAGAAAACACGCAGAGTGGCTGTCAATCTTCTGGCATGCTTACAGATCATGCTGTCTGCCATAGAGATGATGATATCCTCATCCCCCCCCCACCACCTCAAAACAAGCCTTACCTTTCTCATTCTTCCAGTCCTTTTTCTTTTTGCTCATGCTGCCGGAATGGTTTGACTTCGAGTGGTTGTTTTTTGACTGTGGCAACCCCAGGCTCACAGAGAAAGATGCTCCGGGGAGAAAAACTGAAAGGTAAAAAGTGAAGCAGCCCCTGGACGGTTTGTCTCACCTGTGAAGCTGTCAAAAAAAATTCTATGGAGCTCTTAGTCAGACGGCTCAACCTAGCGTGAGTGCGCCGTAAATTATGTGTACGATTTGCGGCGCTGCGATTGGACGGCGAGAACGCGGAAGTGAGCGAGCGATTGGTCCGGTGGAGGAGTCGATCACAGGGGGGAGGCGGGGTCTGTGCATCCTCCTGGCTGTGTAAGGAGAGAGGCTGCTAACGCCGGGCCGCTGGATGTAAACTGCAGAGAGAGGGGAGACAAAGTGTGAGTCACTGCAAGAAAACTTCAACAAGAAACACGTTGACTACATTTAAAAGGACATGCTGATGTTTTTCTGCACTTTCTATGACATTTTGATCCCCAGAGTGAGACAAGTGTTGGAATTGTTGAAAAATAATCAGACAGGGTCCTGTTTTGGATTCATCATAAATTTGTATGAAAAATAAGAATTCATCATCTTGATATTCACCTCCTGATTTGCAGGAGTGCATACTTTTTTATAAAATTCATCATGTAACGTTTTCTACTCTTCTTATCGACCTAATTCAGGGGCGTGTTCAGAGGGGTGGCCAAGGGTGGCAATGAGCAGCATCTTGAAATCTGATTGGTCACCCTCCGTGCCACCCAAAGATCCTGAACAGTGATTGGCTCTTTACCTAGTGAGAGACTCTTCTTAAGATCAGGTGTTCAAGTTCATGAACAGCAACAGGCAGGTAGAAGTTTTCTGTGCGTGTTAATGTAGTCTTATTTTTAAATTGTAAATAAATACTGAATAAATCAACTACATTTAATAGATTATATAAATATATCTGATCTTGTCACTGCTTTGTTTGCAGGAATAACACACGTTTTAATTACATTTTTAAAATATGATTCAGTGAGTTTTAACACATTTTCATCTTCCTGCTGTGTCTCTCCCTCATGTGGACTCACAGAATAAGAGGTTGTAATGTATATAAACAAACAAGTTAACTGTTAGTTAGTATTGATTTGATTTTGAGTAAAAAATATTGAATAATTTATACTCTTTTCTGTTTGGTAAAACGTGCCACTATTTAAAAAAGAAATGTGACAAATGAAAAGACGTTTCAGACTGCAGGAACTTCTTCATAGTTCTAGGAACTGTTGGAATCCTCCCCCCTTTTTTCTATTGATTCCTCACTGCAGGAACTATGAACTATTTTAGTTCCTAGAGTAGGTAGCATGGCGGTGCGAATGCAGACAAATAAAATCCCTATGGTGTGTACATAGCTCTCAGGGAACTCCTGTGGATAGTTCCTCTTCAAAAAGTCCCCACAACCATTTGGTCTGAAAACACCTCATGTAGAAATACACTAACCACACCCCTTGTGCAGAGGCTGCTTTCCAGCTATTGTTGTTCCCCACTTTCTCTCTCTCTCTCTCTCTCTCTCTCTCTCTCAGGTTCCTGACTCTACCCCCATCCTGTCTCTAAATAAAGACCCAAAAAATAACTTCAAACTTCATAAGATGTACTTTCTCTATAAGTTCATCCCATTTTAGGACGATCAACAACTTACATTTGCTCATAATTGGCAGATATTTTAAGTAAATACAATACAATATTATAATATCATGAAATAAGAAGTTTGTCTGCACTTGTCAGATGAGCGTGACTTAAATAAGACATTAACACTTCCTCATTTCAGTTTTTGCAGAATATCTGATCATTACAAAAATCCAGATCTTCATCGAACTAGATCCACCAGACAATAAAATAACAGAAATGTGAAGTTGCATGGATGGTGACGATGTTATTGCAGCTAATTTCTGCTTGAGTTTTCATGTAGTTGTTGGATCTCAGTTGTGATGAACACTTTGTGAAGTTGTTTCTGCGATAACGACGTTAAATAATGTGAACAAACACGCAGATATCCACATTTCCTCCTGCCCTGGTTCATGGCAGAGGACGGCCTCTCACAGGACGGACCAGATCAGAGCAGTCAAAGTCAGGCTGTCGTGTGTGAGGCGGTTCCAGAGACCACCGTCTGTCATCTGTCGCGTTCGCTCCTCTCCGGTCCGGACCCATCTGCTCCTGGAACCGCTGACAGTATAGAAGAGAGTGGAAAATATCCGTCATCCAAGCTGTACTCTGATCCACATCCAGATTTTGTATTTTATTGAAAAGCATCCAGTTTACATGTCAACAGTTCAGACCGTGCCGCTGCCAGAAAATGTCGCATTAAAACAAATATATCACATTTACAGCAGACTGACTGTTTGGATGCTGAGTTCTTATTGCACACCTCAAGATCTATAACTCATTATACTATTTATTATATTATATATATTAGGAAATAAAGAATAAGCAATATGCTCAATATCTTAATTATTCACCACTTTGATATGTTGTGTCAGCGCTGGTTTAAAGCACAATCACACATCAAGATTTTCTCTGTTTCATTCTCACATTTTAACAACAATGTGTGCAGCTTCCCCACTGCACTGCTCACACTTAACCACTAGATGTCACCCTTGCAGTGTTATAATAAGCACAGTACATATTGACTCAGTTTAGAGAATAAAGAAATATTGGCAGAAATGACAGAGTAGAGATTAGTGCATGAAGGCAATGTGACACTCATTTATCTGGTTTTTGATTGGATGTTTTTATATAAAAACCTTTTTTGTTATTATGTTTGGAAGCCCTAAGAGGTAGGTGAGTAAAAAGATTCAGAAGAGTCTGATCCAGGAAAACAAGGAACAAGGAAGTCCGACAAAATCATCACTCTCCCTTTCTTTACCATCTGAGGTAAAAACGAGAGGTGTCCTTTCTAAAGCCCCGTGAAGGAGCTGAGGATTCAGCTTGAAGCTTCATAACATTGTTGTTTGGTAAGTTATATTAAAAGCGCCTACCTTCTCTGGTCCAAACAAATCCAGAGCATTCAGGAGCAGAATCTAAAGTTAGAAGGAGGACATACTGGCTGCTGCATTGTTGTCAGAGAAGCCAGCACTTCAACATAGCATGTTTCCTTAATGATCAGATAGTAAGATACCTTTATCATCTCACTCTCTACACATCTTATTCATTGGACCTTCCGTTTTTGCTTGAATTGACAAAATGATTTAACAATTAAAACATATCAAAAGCACGTGTATCATTAACTTTCATTGCAAGGTATAAAAACCATGAACTGTAAGACTTCAGGAAGTAGCAAGTTGAACAAACTGTGAGCAGTTTAAGCTCAGTAAATGAGATCCGACAGAGTAGAAGTCTTCCTGTTGAGGCTGTGAAACCACCCATTACTCTGAAAAACAAATTATAGTTGTTATCATTAGACATGGACTTGGACAGACGTGAGGACATAATCCCATCAAATAAATGTATCAAACCAAATAGCCTCTAAAAACCCATCAACGGGATTATAACTATTGACATAAGAAGTCGTATAAACAACAGTTGGCGTGATTATAACTCTGGCCTCAGGGCTCACTCAGAGTTAAGAGTCATGTTGTGCATTTCTCTGCAGATAATTGCATCGCTCACTGTCATTACGTTGCTATGATTACAAGTGGGATATAAGAAAAACATAATGTCTCATAACGGCAACCACAGATCAGGAGATGTCTTGAAGGTGCAGCCGACAGCATGAAAAGCCCTTGTGCTGTAACCATGACGATAACAAAAGCCTACACAGTCAAACACAAATAGATCCGCCTCTGTTTGAAAACACAGATTGCCCCGCAGACCTGGGAGCAGCACGCCAAATCTGAGCTCTTTTTTTATTTCAACACGCTAGACATCAATTTGTCTTTGTTACATTCATCAAATAATCACTTAAGCACATTCAGGAAGCTCCTAAAGCTCGACAGTTATCAACTTTAGGTTTCTACAATAGATGTTGTAACAGGCCTAGGGTTAGGGTGGCCTTCCTCACACACAGGTATTATTACTTACTGTAGCTGGAGAGACATGCGGACAGGCTGCAGCTGGGTGAAGGTGGAACATCAAATGATTTCAGAGAACCATAAAAAATGAACAATGATATTAGGCTAACATTTCTTTCAAAGACGGTGCAACATTTCTAATAAAGGTGTCTTTTTTAAGATTTATTTTTGGGCATTTTGTGCCTTTATTGGAGAGATAGGACAGTGGAAAGAGTCGGAAATCAGGGAGAGAGAGAGTGGGGAATCACATGCAGGAAAGGAGCCACAGGTCTCAAACTTTCAGATGCTCTCTTTAAACATAATATGCAAAAAGGTTTTCATGCTTCTTCTCTAAACTTGTACGATGACTACATTACTTTTGCACGATCAGAGACATTCTGCTTTGCTGAGCACTCTCTTTGACACGATGCTGTTCAGTGTAACATGTAAACTGAAGTTTGGCAGTTTGTGTGGATTCTTCACAGACGTCTCAGCCAAACATTTGTGTCTCCATCATCTCCTGTCACAATTTAAACTCATCCGATTCACAGGTGTGAGCAGCAGAGACTTATTCTGACAGAAAGAGAAGAAAGAGGTCTGAGAAGCTCCTCAGTACAGACAATGTTGTAGTCAAGACTACTAACCGAGACCAAGACCCGAGACCAAAGACATTTAGGGATCGAGGCCGAGTCAAGACTAATATCATAAATATCAATGAAAAATCATCATCTTGTGTGCAGCGGGCGTGTCAGACAGTAACACCGGGATGGTAAGGAGGCGTTTTCCTTCTAATCACAGTAATTACTTGGAAAAATATCCGATCAGTGGTGGCCTTGATTTCAAATCTAGAGTCCACCCAGTCTGAGACCGAGTCAAGACCGAATGAAAATGCTTTCGATTCCGAGACCAAGACCTTCAAAACACGGATTTTGAGTACTACAACACCACAGACCAGCTCACACAAATGACTCTGAACTGACTTTTCAAACACCGATTATTGTTCTTTTTTTCTTTGTCCAGTATCTGTTAAAAACACTGATGTGTAAAGGTAAAGCTTCATTTGTAAAACTTTGTGGTCGATCGTTTTGTGTGTTTCATTTTAGAATAAAGATTAAAGTTTCAGGGATCCCTCTGCATACGTGTGCTCTGACTAATCTGCAACGAGACGTTAAAAGTGAAGTTGAATTATAATTTTAGATGAAAACTCTTCTAAATTAAAAGCTACACTCCATGAATGTTCAGGTTATGCCCATGCATACATCCATTTATTTTCCTCTTCTTATCAGGGGCTGAGTTTTGGTGGCAGCAGGCTCAGCAGGTCGACCCAGACATCCCTCTCCTCAGCAACGTTTTCCAGCTCCTCCTGGGGGATTTGGAGGCATTCCCAGGCCAGATGGGATACATAATCCCATATCTTTATGGTTTCCTCCCAGTTGGGCATGCCCGGAAAACCTCCAAAGAGGACTACAGCCTCTGTACATTGGGCAAGCAACATAACCACTTGGCTATCCTGCGCCCCCTTAAACTCCCACACGGGGGAGCAAACCCAGCAGAGAACCACGGCCTCAGACTTGGAGGTCCTGACCCTCAACCTAACTGCTACGCACTCTGCTGCAAACCGCCCCAATGCCTGCTGGAGGTCCCGTCTATAAAAGACGCAAAAACAGAACAACATCATCTGCAAAAAGTAGCGACGCGATTTTAAGGGAACCCAAACTAGAAACCCTCCTCCACCCGGCTGCACCTTCAGATCTTTTCCATGGAAATGACAAACAGAATCTGTGAAGAGGGAGGTAGCTCTGGTGCAGGCCAAAACACACAGGGAGCGTGTCTGACTTTGTGCTGAGGATGCAGACACAGCTCTCCCTTTGGTCATACGCGGACAAGATGGCGTGTAGCAACATCTCTGGCAACTAATATTCCTGGATCACCCCCCGGGGGACACGACATAGGTCTGCCTCACAATGCTCACCCCAGAAGCTTTGCAAAAGCTACAACTTCCCATTAAACATTTTCTTTCTCATGTCCTATAAAAGATTCTGGAAGAAACAGATTCTTTCTTTGTAACTAATAAACTTGGTAACACTTTATATTAAGGTGCTTGTAATAAGCATTAATAACAGTTAATAAGTGACTTATAAGACCTTATTAACACAAATAAGACTATATAAGTGTTAATATAGGCATACTTAACCCATTTATTATGTCTTATAAGACACTTATAGGCTCTTATTAGAAATGTACAGACACTTTATATACATTAATAAGACTTCATGAGTGTTAATTAAACTATAAATTCATGTATAATTGGGTTGTAAGATATTAATTAACACAAAGAAACTTGTTCATAGACCACTTATCAACATTCATAAGATGTTTATTGACATTAATAAGACTTTATTAGGTTCATATTAATGCCTTATAAAGGTTACTAAATACTTTATTATGCACTTATTAACAGCTCAGTGGGAACAGGGTCCAACTTTCAAGTAAACGGAGAAACAAAAAGGAGGTCTATTGAACTTCCATTCAAACAGTTGGTAAAAAGACGCTACTACAAATACAAGTATTATCTTTAACTGCTAACAACATTATGAAAACATTTGGTGTGTCATAGCTACCAACATATCTGAGCAAATTCAGGGGAAAAGCATAGTTGTTTTTAACCCATGTTAATGTAAATAAAGTGTTGAAGGTGGACAAACATCAGAGAAGTAGGACTCCTGGAGCCCAAGGTCTGAATACCAGTCAAGAGATGCACACAGGAATACATTTTCAAACTTTGTATGTAAGGAACACAAATATTGCAGATCAAGATTACAATATACAATTAACAACTTAATAAACATGCACATGAAATAAAACAAACATTTGAAGTGTCTAAGCCCAGTCTTTTTCATTGGGGCTCAATCCAGGTGTGTGTTTCATCTGTGCTCTATGAAGTAGCAAAGGAAGTTCTTCCTTAGAAGAAACAGTCTTTTTAATCCCACTTGAGGTCTTGAAGGTTGGGCTCACTATCCAGTTAGCTGCTCACAGTTCTATGGTGGATGCTCTTGTCGATGAATGGTCTTCTGGATGAGCCCAAAATCCACCTTTTACGAAAACCTGATTTACAGACAGGTCACACCACCCCTATAAAGATAAACATGCACGTCAGCATCAACACAGGCTTCATCTCAATTTAAGCACTTTGCATTGAACACCAAGTATTAAAATAACATCTGTTTTTATTCTCAATTTTCCATTAGCTCTGATGTACTACAAAAAATGTTAAAGATTTTCTTTATCAATTTACTGTTGAGCTTTTTATTTATTGGACAATATATTGTAATAACTGTACTATGAAACACTGAAGTTCTGTGTGACGCCACAAAAGAGTGAAATTAACAAAAGAGGAAAAACTTTCATCATAACTTCCATTAAACTATTCCTTACTCATTTACATACTGTGGCTAAGCTACTTTCACCCTTCATGGTGCCAAACTTTTGCTTTTACAGATCACAAAAAGCCGGAATGGATGCTACATTTTTCACAACACAAAAGCTAACTGATTAGCATTGGCATATGACATTTTACCTGCATCTTGTTAGAATCGTGGCTAATGCTAATTGCACAGGACTAGCCATTTTTCCAGACTAGTAAAGCGCTATATAAGCTCAAGTCCATTTACCACAGATGCTGAGCTAAGCAGGAAAATATGGCTGGCAGGCAAACAAAGCCGCTTCGCTGCCTTTTGGCTACGATCAAGTGTAGTATCTGTTCTTATCAGTTTAATATCTGATACGTCCCCTACCCGGGGACCATATATTAAATTGATTTTTGGACTTGGGAGATGGAACAGGGGCTTGCTCCGACCCGGTATTGCAGTACCTCCGGGAACGGTCCTCCTCTCTTCACAAATTTCCCCCACGGGGGGGGGGGGGGATCAATAAAGTTTCTTTAACAGGCCCATTCTGAATATCCACAGTTCAGTAGTCAGTACTTCTCAGTAGACTGAACCCTCGTGGTCATTTTTTGGGTCCACCTCAGTATACTGAACATTTCAGTATGGATGCTAACTTCCTGGTTTTATGCAGTAAGGATCGGCTGCGTGCTTTCAGGAAATGAATTGTATTTTACCCACAATGCTGTGCGAAATTAAATGCAAATCGTCACGTCACGTCCACCTCCAAATCAAAACAAACGAGCGTGGATTCATTTAATCAATTTTTATTCTAGAGTTCAAGTCCCGACTGAAATCACTACTTTAAATTAACAATAGAAAATATAACAAATGTCTGCATTATTATAAAACCCTTCCCCCTCTATTTAAATAATGATGTCACTATTTAAATGTGTCTTTATTTTACTGTCTTTCATTTGTTCTTTCCTTTATGTACTGTATGTTATTTAATCTGCCTTTTACTTGATTTACATTGTGATATCAGGGTCCAGATCTTTTCCTCTGTCAAAAGCCATAAAAAGTGCAGTAAAAAGGCAAAATATAAATGCAAACATTTATCATTTTATTGCAGATTTTGGCCATAAAAAGACTAATGCAATCAAATAAATTGTGTTGCTAGTCTTTGACATATCAAAGACTCTAATCACCATTAAACTAATAACCTTGCATTTTAAAGGGTTACAATCCTGAAAATAATTGAATGTTGAGCAAGTGAAAAGTTCTTTAACTAACACAGCAGAAAAATATAAATACATTTTAGGAGGGCACAAGGGTTGGTGGTGTTGTTTTACCTTGATATACTGTAGAAGAAGCTCGTCACAAGTCAGGACACTGCTCTCCACTGTGGCGGGCGATCAGCATGAAGAACTCCACACTCCGTACGCTTCCCGGTCAAAGTCAGTTCAATTAGAATGATTACAGCCTAAAAGGAAAAACATCCATGATAAACATATACAAGGCAGCAAAGATATATTCCAATACCGTTTAATTCATGGATACACCACAAAGCATTCTCTGTCTTAAAATAAAACTTGTAAACTAAGTGGTACCAAAATATGTTTAGATTTTATCAATATTTCAGCCCTTGTTTTCTGGGTGTGAATTTCCAGATTTGTTTGAATCTCAAACACTTAGGGTCATGTTAAAAAAAACAAAAACGTTTTATTACGGAAATTTACAAGTGTAATCTCAAAATTTAAAAAAATAATAACTTAACGGGGCCCTCATCCTTGTCGTACACTTGTATATCGTAAAATTAGTTTTCCATGAAAGACACACCTTCTCAAAGACTTGAAGTGAAAGTCTGCAGTCGTATTTCTTCCAGGGACTTGAGATTCTGCACCTCTTTGGAATCATAATAATCCTCCTTAAAAAGAACAAAATAAAAACGGGTCAGGCTAGGCTATAGGGCTGTGTGAGTAAATTCAGTGACATTGTTATCCCAATGAAAGGATTTGCAACAATCACATCGCTATAGTCAGACTTTATCGCAAGAACATTTTACTTACGCATTTTTATATTTAACAGAATTTCTTTATTTTAAAAATACTTCTAAACAAACATGAATAAAATGCTAAAAACACTAATATTTTGTATAAATAAATACAAATAACTAGTTTAACAGAACAAACAATATCAGGGAGCAGAAGTGGTCGCAGGGGATGGTTTTAAGATCAAGATTAACTTTACTATCTCACAAAGTGAGAAATTTGTCTTTGGCTCTTCACCCATGCTGCAGCCATAAAAAAAAAAAACACATCAACATCATCCTTCACATCAAACGATAACATTAAGTATATAAATACTTTGGGTTCTTAGCACGAGGCAGCCGGGGTCGCTACAGAGCAGCGCCATCGGTGGAAACCGGTTAAATGTTTTATGATTGCATCTGGAGAGATAAGGTGAGCATTTTATAATATAGTTTGAACATAAAATATTAATAGAAATATTTTACAAAATGGAAGAAACAAAGACATGCATCCAAATAAAGTTAAGTACCTGTTCCCTGTCAAAAGCAGGAAAAAGGCCAGAAAACAAAAGCAGAAAAAACAGCAAAATACAAAAGCAAATATTACAGATTTTGTCCACAAAGGTGTCCAGAGGGAATATCTTAAAGCTAAAACCAGTTTAAAATGCAGTCGGAAAAACAGCAGTGATAAACGTATAAGATGAACAAGGTAGCAAGGATATCTTCCAATACAGTTTAATTCATGGATACACCAGTGAAAAATATTTTTTCAAGCGCCGTAATAAAACAATAACTCACCAAGTGTTTTCATGGCCCAGACTGAACATCACCACTGTACTGCAGCCCTTGATGTGGTAATCATTGGTCGAGCATAAGTCTCTCTTGATTTGAGACTGGAGCTGAATGTGTAGAGAGGTGGGATTAAAGTTCTGCTTATCAGAAAATAAAAAATAACCCTAACAGAAGAGGGTAACCTCTTTCAAAGATCCTACATCCATTTTTTCTATGGCTGTAATGACAAAAAGAAAGATTTATGTTTCATTTCGTAAACAATAAGGCAAAGTTTGAAATGTGGAAAAACCCATTCTTTACACAAGTAGAAACACATTGTATATCCCTGTTGACAAAAACATAACACATATTGGCCTTCACTTATCAAACGTACGTACGGCAGAAAAATGGGTGTACATATTTTCCCTCGTATTTCTGTGTGAGGAGATAGTGGTACGTCTTCCCGTCACCACTGGATGGTTTCTCTACCAAAGCCTAAAGAAGAAGCCACATCTTTATGTAGGTAATGAAATTCATTGGGATTATTACAACTGGTGACATCATCAAAGCCATAGGTGAAATCAGACAAACATTTCATGACCAGACACAGGCCTTCACTTGTAGTGTGACTTATAAACACTCTTACCCTGGTGAGTAGGATTCTCTTGTGGGGGACTGCTAGGGACCAAGCAGTAAGGCACGAGACACAGGAGTAAGTTTAAAGAAAAGGTAGGTTTTTATTTTTGTGATCCGTCTCCAAGGTGAACTCTTGAGCAAGAAGGTAGTACCGGAAGGAATCAAGGGCCCACTTGATAGCCAGTGCCTCCTTCTCCACCGTCAAAGATCAAACCTCTCTGGGGAACAGTTTCCAGCTGATGTAGCGACTGGATGCCGATCATCCTGAAGTCCCTGGAGTAACACAGCTCCCAAAGCCCTGTCAGAAGCATCAGTTTGCAGAAGAAAATGTTCGTCAAAGTCAATGATTGATGGATATCACTGAAAGCTGCCACTGCCGTCTCTGTCCACTGGATCTGATTGGGACTCCAGGATCTAGTCAAGTCTGTGAGAAGAGCTGCCCTGTTGGAGAAATTGGGTTTGAAGCAGTGATAGAAGCCTGATAGCCCAAAAAAGATCAGCACTGCTTCCTTGTTTGTGGCAGGGGCGAGGACTCTATGGCCTGGATTTTGTTGACCTGAGGGCGTACAACCCCATTGAAGATGACGTGGCCTAGGTACTTCGACAGGATGACAGTCAGCCAGGCAGAATGAAGGCGATACAAGACAGCTTGCAGGTGTTCCTCCCACGTGTTACTGTAAATGACAATGACATCTAGATATGCTGCAGCAAAACCAGAGAAATAACAAATGACCTGGTCCATGAGTCTCTGGAAAGTTGCTGGAGCGCTGTGAAACTCAAATGGTTTTACTGTGAAATGGAAAGGGCCCCATGGTGTCCTGAGGCTGTCAGCTCCTGTGACGATCGGTGAGAGGAATCTGCCAATAACCCTTGCAGAGATCTATTGTGGTCAAGTATTATGCCTTTCAAGCAGTTCATACATTATTGGTGTTGGCTAAGAATCAAAGAGAGAAATTAAATTCAGGTACCTGAAATCAATGCAGAACCTTATGCTTCCATCCTTCTTTGGTACAAGCACCACTGGGTTACACCACTAGCTCTTTGAAGCCTTGATGATCCCCAGGGAAGGCATCAGGTTAACCTCCCTCCTCAGTGAGGCCAGCAGGCACTCTGTAACTTAATCTTCTCACAGAAGCACCTTCTCTGACAACAATGGCATGTTCAACAATATTTGTTCTCCCAGGATTCTCCTGGAAAACATCTGAATTACAGCTAGATCTCACCTGAAGCCATTGGCCACCTGATTGGTTACTGAGATCATGGTCTACCAGGTCAATAAAGAGGCAAGTATTGCTCATCCAACACACTTATTAGGATCACTTCTGCTTTAAGGTTGCTGCACCCACTCTTTTAAGAGATATATGTGAAGTACCCTACTGGAGTGTGAGTGCCTTGGTGTCAATACATGATACCTGGTTGGCCCAAGTTTCTTTAGGATTTTGAACGGTCCTTGCTATTTAGCCAACAGTTTGTTAACACCAGCACTTTCTGTCCAGGGTCTTAGAATCTCTGCCTGGCTGGCTTGTCGTACCAGGACTTCTGTTGCTGCTGGGCGTCTGCCACGTGTGATTGGGCCAGCTCACCCATTTTCTCCAGCCGCTCTCTCATCTGGATGATATAGGATACAACGGTAACAGATCCCACCCTCCCCTTGCCACCTCCCAGATCTCTCTCAACAGTGCCAACGACCCCCAAACTTTATGTCTATACAAAAGTTCAAAAGGAGAGAAACCAGTGGAGGATTGGGTACTTCCCTGTATGCAAAAAAGGAGGTATGGAAGCCATTGATCCCAGTCTGTACCAGTGTTGTTTACCAACTTCCGGAGCATCTGTTTAAAGCACTCTGTTAGCTCATCCGTTTGATGAACACGTGGTGTAGTCCTGAGGCTCCTGATACCCAGTAACTGGTACACCTGTTTCAGCAGAGTAGACAAAGTTAGTTCCCTGATCAGTTAATATTTCACAAGGGAAGCCCACCCTTGAAAAGAACTGTACCAACAGAAAGCACGGATGGATTTTAGTGGAAAGAGTTCTGGATACTTGGTAGCAAGTCTGTTATAACCAGCATATCCTGGTTCCTGCTTTGCTTCTCTCTACAGGACCAAAAATGTCCATCCAAGGCGCTCAAATGGGGTGCCAATAATGGGTAGTGTTTGAATTGGAGCTCTGGGGGTGTTTTAGCAGATGTTAGCATAGTCGAAAATCGAAGCACACAGTTCCCACCAACCATTCACTTTCAAACAAATTTTCCTCACTTAGCAACACAACCCGTCGAGAATAAAACTCTGATTATTGGAGACTCCATAGTCCAAACGTGAAGCTAGCGAAGTCAGCGGGCATAGTTAGGTGTATACCGGGGCCAGAGCGGGCGACATCGCATCTTATTTAAAGTTGCTGACAAAGACTAAAGGTAGATTTGATACAATCGTAATTCATGTCGGCACTAATGACTCCCGACTACGCCAGTAGGAAGTCACTAAGGTTAATGTGGACGGTGCAGCTCTATTATCTAGAAACATAGCAGAGTTATTAGTCCAAAACCTTGACAACAACACAGTTCAGACAGGAGGCAGAGCTGCAGTCTTAGATGCTTCTCTGTGCCTCCCTTAGCTCTGTCTCCCAGTCACTATAGCTGTAATTCTGAATTGAACTGTAGTTATACTATAGGTACTGTGTCTGTGCCCCGGCTCATCCAAATGAGTAGAAAAGAAAAAAAAAAAAAAAAAAAAAAAAAAAAAAAAAAAAAATCTGAAAATTCACTGCAGACTTTTGAACATTAGGTCCTTAGCATCGAAATCTTTTAGTGAATGATCTGATATCAGATCAGCATATTGATTTACTTTGTTTGACTGAAACCTGGCTGTGTCGAGATGAATATGTTAGTTTGAATGAATCCATCCTCCAGTCATTTTAGTACTCACATACCTCGAGACACCGGACGAGGTGGTGGAGTAGCAGCTATTTTTAATTCTAGTCTTCTCGTTAACCCTCGACCAAAACTGAATTTTTCTTCTTTTGAAAGCCTTGTTCTTAGTCTTTCACATCCAACTATCTGAATTTTTAATCAAATTTAGTCCTTAACAGTGATAGACTAATTGTTGTAGGTGACTTCAATATCCATGTGGATGTTGATAATGATAGCCTTAGCACAGCTTTCATGTCATTATTAGACTCTATTGGTTTCACCCAGGTGGTAAACGAACCTACTCATCATTTTAACCACACCCTGGATCTTGTTTTTGCTTATGGCATTGAAATCCAAAACCTTACAGTTTTCCTAGAAAATCCTCTTCTATCAGACCATTTCCTTATTACATTTGACTTTGTCCTACCAGAATTATCTCTGCTTAATAAAAATGTGCTCCCCAGAAGTTCCTGATAGTGCTGTAGCTAGATTTAAGGAAGCCATTTCAGCTGCTTTTGAGTCAGTACCGTGTTTCAACCCAGTTGGAAACTCTTGTGATAGCTTTAGTCCCTCTCAGCTAGATCAGTTTGTTGATAGTGCAGTGGATTCACTGAGAGTTACTCTTGATTCAATTGCTCCCCTAAAACAGAAGGTTATCAAACGGCAGAGACTAGCTCCATGGTCGCAAAATTTTTAAAGAATATGGCGCTCGACCAAAACGGTAGAATCTTGTTTATTCTGGCAGGATAGTCTCAGAAAATATATGAAGGCTCTACGTCATGCTCGAGCTGCCTACTGCTTCTCTCCAATCGAGGAAAAGAAAAGCAATCCAGATACCTTTCAGCACTGTAGCCAGGCTGACAGAGTCATGGCTCCATTGAGCCTTGTACCCCAGCCAGTAATGACTTCCTGAGCTTTTTCAACAACAAAATTCTAGACATCAGAGACAAAATTGGTAACCTGGTGCAGATACGTCTGATACGGCAGAGACAGTTCCAGGACCAGATATTAGTCTATACTGTTTTTCTCTAATCGACCTTTCAGAGCTAAATTCAATTATTTCTGTGTCGAAACCATCAACCTGTATTTTAGACCCAATCCCAACCAAGCTGTTTAAGGAAGTCTTTCCCTTAGTTAGCAACTCTATATTAGATATGATCAATATGTCTTTACTGACAGGGTATGTACCACAGTATTTTAAAGTAGCGGTAATCAAACCTCTACTCAAAACTTCAGGAACTCTAGCTAACTAGAGGCTTATATCCAACCTTCCTTTTATCGTGAAGATCCTGGAGAAGGTGGTAGCTAATCAGCTGTGTGACTTTCTCCATGACAACTGTTTATTTGAGGAGTTTCAGTCAGGATTTAGAGTCCACCATAACACTGAGACTGCACTAGTTAGAGTTACAAACGATCTACTTCTAGCTTCAGACAGGGGACTTCTGTGCTCATCTTGTTAGATCTTAGTGCTGCTTTTGACACCATCAGATCCTATTATACAGACTAGAACATTTACAGGGACTGCTTTAAATCTTACTTATCAGACCGATCTCAGTTTGTACATGTTAATGATAAGTCCTCTATGCACACCAATTGACCAATTCGCTTAACATTATATATGGGAAACACTCCATAACAAAGAGTAAGGTATTTTACCTGCTTTTTGTAAAGTGTCTCAAGATAACACTTGTTATGAGTTGACGCTATACAAATAAAAATTGATTGGCACTGAGGGCAACATGTCTGCGCAAGCCAGGCCAGTGGAAATGTTTTTTTTTTTTTATTAATGAGAGCTGCGGTTTTGTGGGCCCAGGTGGCCAGCCCAGGGAACCGAGTGCCCCAAGGCAAGTATGGCGTTTCTAGCTGCTTGGGGAACCACTAGGTGCAACGCTGACGATAGAGGATGCCATTTTGCTGGATATTCTCATCACTTATGATGTCCAACTAAGCTTCTGGCGCCTTCTCCTTTGCTTTCTGGAAAATAGAGACCAAAGACGGATCAGTTTTCTGCATATCATTTATATTACCTGGAGCTTCAAACCCTAGTGGTAACTCTGGGTCAGTGCTGGTTGGTGGTGTCATCACTGTCCTTTGGAATTTCTTGTGCCTTCTCTGTCTGCGGGTTTTTCCGACACTTCCCAGGTGTGGTCTCCAACTCCTCATTGAAAAGGAGCTCATTGGATTGCACGGCCTGCATTCTGTTTACCACAGCGTTACACTGTCTGCTTTGTTCTGGCTCCAACAAATCAAAAAGAACTGGTAGGTCTCTTTCTAGAACAGCATCAAAAGGCAGATTATCAGCAACCCCAATGTTCAAAAGGTAAGTTTGACCTTTTACCTTAATGTAGATGTCAGCTGTTGGATAAGGCTTCTCATCTCCATGAACACAACAGATAGGGATGGTGTCACTGCTGCTGATAATGTTGGGTGGTACAGACTTCCTTTGTACCAGTGTCTAATCACACCCAGAGTCAAGCAACACCCCAAGTTTTGCATTTTAATATAAAAGTAGTTTTTAAGCACATTTGTGTCATCTCAGCTGAGATGGGTTTAGTATGGCCTTCAAGTCCACATAAATAACAAATTAGCTTTTTGCTAGAGGGTTTTGTTGGCCTGCTAGCTGGCTGGCCCCTCCCACATGGGAGGCTTACCTGCACTGGATGCTTCCCCCTGTTGGAACTGTTGGGCTGGTTTGTGGCTGTCCTTTGTCATCCTCCATGCATTGTAGCTCCATGGTTGACCCTTTCTCCGTGCAGCCACAAAGACATCGGCCAGCTTGCTGGCCCCCGTTGCTGAATCCGTGTCATGCTCTTTGATCGATACCTGAAGCTCAGGGGACAACATTCTTAAATATTGTTGTAGGATGATTATTTCACTTACTTGGATGCTTTTACCTTTTGGCTGGATCCATTTCCCAAAGAGCATCACATACAACTCTTAATGGCTCTCATCAGGGTTGAATGTCCAGGGAGTGGAATCTTTGCCTGCAAGTCTCAGGATTAATGTAATTTGGAAAGAATGGCAGACTTCACCCATACATAATTAAAAGAGTCATCAATGTCCATATGCACATAAGTACCTCTAGTTTACAAACCAAATTATAAGAACTAGGCCTATGAAAAAGAGGTCAACTTAATATAACAAGATGTCAACTAAGGTATGGACTCAAAAAACAGACCTGATGTCTGAATGAAGGTTTACCTGGTGCTTTCCATTATGGGAAACAGTCAGCAAAGACTGGTCTGATGAGCTACTGAATATTTTTCCAGAGAAATCAGTACGTACTCAAGTATAGTAGATGTTTCAAACACAGCCTGAGAATTTGTTGAACCTTCTTTCTGGTACAGGCCTCTGACAGATAGCAAACAGTGAGTCAGAGACGAGAGGAACTTACTGAGATGACCAGAAGCAGCAGGATGGTTTGATAACTCTGATCAAAACAGGATAACCATTTTATCAGCAACAACAACACTCCAGTTTGAACCACTGGAGGAGAAGAGACTGGGATCTGCCTGCATCTGGAAAAAAACAGCATTTCCACACTTACAAATTGGCACACTAGTGTTCACATTGATTGGTTGGACTTTGTCAGAAAAAGTCTGAGTCCCTGCAGACCAAAGCTTGGAATTTTCCACATCGCTAGATACATGGAAAGAAATGTCAATCTCAATGTTTGTAAAGTAGTTCACACAACTGTCTAGGAAGGTTGTAGAAAGGCAATTCAGCAGATGAAGATTTTCCAAGAGGTGAGTATTTTTCAGTGATTAAACCAACACATGTTAACTTAACAAAACAACAAACGTTCAATGTAAATAAGGCAACTTACTTCATGATTAAATCAGACTAAAAACCATGTTACAGGCAGCACGTCCTCACCTCTCTTCATGCAAGAGCACACGTCTCCTGGCTTTATAGATGGCCCCATTAACCAAATGGCCACAGCTGGGTGCAGCACAACTCAAGTAGTGTGTTTACACTTTTCTCTTAAAGCAAAGAAATCTACATAAACCCTTAAATTAACCTCAGATCATTTACTCAACTAAATTAACTTTAAATATTTAAATTACATTCCACCAGTAACTCAAACATGAACTAAATTATTAGAAAGAAAACATTTCTCAGAAATAACACCCCTTCAAAATGGTCTGCCCCAGTGATGTCAGTGATGACATCATCAATCTGCTAAACACCCAGGAAGTGCTGGGCTATCCCTTTTTAGCTGCATGGAACCACATGGGAAACTGAACTAAAGAACAAACAGAGGTAAGTATGGATAAGACAATCAAAGATATTTTGCAGTTCCAGAAACTAAATAAAAATGACTGAACTAAGTCAAGACTGTGTGTTTGCTTTAAGTTGATTTATGCTTTGATGTGAACTGAAACTTATTGCTAACACAAACAAACCCGGGATAGTAGTAAGTGCTGCAATGTTACACAAGCAAAATTAAATTAAAGCTAAATACACAACTGGAATTAATGATGTGATTTGATATTAAATAAAGACTTAAGTGACAAGTGGTGATTAAGAGAAGAGCTTCTCACCCACTTTGTCACAATGTTATGTCAAGTTTTCTATGCGCTGATTCAGCTGACTGTAAACTCCCCTAAGTGTTACCACAGGGCTAGGGTTGCAGGAAGAGAGAAGCCCTGAGGTCTTACTGGGCGCTGCCATATTTTGTGTCTGTGTTCAGTTCACTCACAGAGTGAAGGATTATGGGGGATCTGCCGGCTAAAAATGTTGTTTCTCAGAGTATTATAAACAACTTACAGCTATATCTATTTTTTTCTGTCTTCTGTAAATCTACAGACACTGAGGACGGCATAACAATGTCAGCATCCTCCTAGTGATAGAAGATGAGGTCGTCCTGGAGCATCAGATCAAGCAGCATGGCATGAAGGAGGACTATTGGTAGCATATGGTAGCTATGCTCATGGGTCTGTTACATACAGCTTCTTTGTAAATCTGTGAGGTCAGGAGTTTTCTGAAAGCTTCCAAAAAATATTTGGACATTGTCTCACAGATCTTTTCTGAAATGTTTGTGTTACCACAGTAAGATCACCTCATTAAATGCGTAAATTACCAGATTTTATACGTTTATTGCATCTGAAGATACTGAGAAAAGTGACCGATAAATGTAGCAAAAGAAGGACAACTGATTTTTTTGCACATTCTTGGGTGGAAATGTTTTTACCGACAAGAGGTAAAAACATTTGTAAATGTTTAGATGTGCTATTTGATCTGATCTGCTGTCAAAGGTTTTAGAACTGAAGTTGGTTGGTTTCTATGATAAAACGAATAACCTGTAGAGATTATACCTTTTTTTTATTTGTATTTGAAAGGAAGTTGAAAGTTTCCACAAAAGCAAAGAGAATCACTAAATGTAATGTATACGCTGAACTGATTTAAGTTGACTAAAATATAAATATATTTATATATTCAATTTAAATTGATTAATTTATTTAACTCAATATTTTAGATGGATTCAACTTTTGCTAAAGTATTTTAACTTTGGATTTCAAGTCAAAAGAAATTGAAAGAGCATTTTGCCTCAACTAGATAACGAGATAATTTCACAGGAACTGAGTTGTGTTAAAAAGTTTTGTGAACTACAACTGACTTGATGTCAAGTTTATTTGACTACAGAACATTTTATTTCTTTGGAATAATCACAAATTTATCTCAACTTATGTTTTTAAGTTCAGGTAAGTTAACATTTTAAGGCAACCCAGACACTAACTTTTTTAAGTCATAACTAGTTGTTTTTTTTTTAACAGTGCTCTTGTTAGTGGCGATTATAGTCTTATATTTCTAAATTCAATCAGAAGGTCTTGTCTCTTTGTTACCTGTTTTATTCATGATTACGACAATGTAGCACTTTGATTATATATCACAGCCGGCCGTAGCCTGTAATCTATCTGTCAGTGCAATTTGTCATGAGATGCATTGTGATGCGCTGATGTGAATAAAGTGGTTTACTGAGTGTTACTGTGTTTAGTCTACGTCCTCAGAGCAGGGTTTGAGGTTGGATTAAAAAAGCATCACACTGCGAGTATTCTTTTCCTGCGGGATTCCTGTGGGTTGTAGCTTTGGCAGAATGTGTTGCAGCAGCTCCCTCTGTTTATTTAACTCCGTTTAATAAAGCCCCCATCCAGCATGTCTCTTCACACCAGAGCGTGCCTGCTTTTCCGCCCTCTCCGAGCAGCAGGAATTCCTTCCTGATCGCTGGCTGAACTCAAGTAGAAAAGATTGGTCGTGTTCAGATGTTTCTCAGGGTATGCACAGAAGGCATCCCAACTTAAAATGTTTTTTTATGCACCAACAGTTTGTTTTTTCTGCTCAGACGGTGCTTCTTTGTTGCTTTTGATTTCTCTCTCTTCCAGGACAGTTACTTCAATATTTAACAAAACACTAAAGCTCAGGCAGAAATGCAAAGATCTGATCATGCACAGATATCCATCCAAATGAGAATCTGCTGGATACCAGGGCAGAGTATTTTGAGAGAAAGAAAAATGCTGTCAGAGAAATACCGTTCAATTTAAAATCAGTTCAGCTCTGATTTGATATGTCTCTGATCTCTTCCCATGTCATAACACCTCAGCTCAGTCAGACAGAATAACCCAGTGCGTCAACAGTCTGCCCGTTATAGCTGAAATAATACTTCAATAATACCTTCTAGTTTCATCTTTTCAGTTTGACAGTGGAAGAATGTCTCACAATGATGGCCCTGACGGTTTAAACTCAGATATTTCAAGCATCACAACATCATTTCACAAAACTACGAACTCAATAACAATTCAGAAAACACAAAAACTTTTCAGAAATAACAACAAATCAAAAGATAGACCTTAATTTCCCAAATGCATTAACATATTACAAACAGTTCATACATTGCAACGTGCCCGCTCTCTTTTGATTAGTCAGCTCTCTGGAAGCCTTCCAGGGGTGGCAGAACGCTGCAGGACTGCCAGAGGAGGGCTGTACTCCAGTGCTGGGAGAAGAGAGTCTCTGTAAGAGGTTTTAATCAGATTATGTAGAGGCTTGAAGTAATCTGGTGAAATTCTTGGTTTCATATCGGAGGAACTATGCCGTAATTTGCAAAACAAAGTGTTTAGCGCCCTCTGTAGACTCATCCTGGGATTACTCCAACATGTATTTACCTCATGATCTGAAACTTTGCCCTCGTTTAGTTTGGGCATCCAGCGTTGTAACACTGTATAAGAATTTAAAAATGGGGATCAGCTTCTCAGGTCAACTTTAAGGTCTAGAGAGGAGAGTGGACAGAGCAGGAAACCCAGGAGAAAGAGAGGGATAGTGGGGAATGACATGCAGAATAGGATCTGCAGCTTTGGACTTGGACCTGGGTAGCCCGCCTGGAGGACTACCTAACCTCTAGGCCATTTGCACCCCAAAAACTACTTCAAATTGGAGTTTCCTCTGAACATCATCAACAACTACGAGTTAAACCCAGAGATCTCGCAAAGATCCGCTGTCTGACCAGGGCTCAGAAAATCAGCAGAGACACCTCCCACCCCCACCAAGGACTGTTTTCGCTGCTGGACTCTGGAAAGAGGTTCCGCAGCCTCCGAAGCAGAACTTCCAGGTTCTGTAACAGCTTCTTCCCACAGGCCATAAGACTTTTGAACACGAAAAAATAATCCCTCCATTCCCCCTCAAACCTCCACACAGGACTACCTCACTGGACTGTAAAACACAATATAACGTGCAATATATTTATCTGTATAGTATTTTTACTCATAGTTTTTCTTTTTATATCTATTTATATCTGCACCTTATTTTTATTTTTTTATATGTAAATACATGCTGCTGTTTTTATCCTGCACTACAACGAGCCAAATGCAACGAAATTTTGTTCTTATCTGCACTGTAAAGTACAAGTTTGAATGACAATAAAGAAAGTCTACGTCTAAGATCTGATGGTAACCAAAGTCCCATTTAACCCCCTTAAAGTCTATGTGGCCCCTCCTCAGGTCTCTCTCTCTCTCTCGCTCTCTCTCTCTCTCTCTCTCTCTCTCTCTCTCTCTCTCTTTAGATGTATTGCTCAGTGGAACTCTTTCATCTCTGTTGACTGGGTCCAAAGAAAACAACATTACACAGCACATTATGATTAAGGAATGTGCTTGTGTTGTTCCACCCATAAAACTTCGGCTTCAATAACAGAAACAAGCCCCTCGCCCTGATCAGAAGGAGAGACGGAAGATATACCATGCAGCAAAAAACAAAGAGACAAAAGATTAATAATAATAATCGTCTATTGACAGTGTCTGTTTGTTTAGACGGTCAGCCTTTGACCAAAAAAAAAAGTTTGTGTTGCATATTTACTATTCAGTGTATGCTTTTTGTTTTAATGCAACAAAATAAACTTTGTTTCATCTTTTTGATTTGCGAAATTTGTAAATATTAATGGATGAAGTCTAAGTGACGTCCCCCCCTCTGTTCCTGCAGGGGGCGCTGGAGTGCCATCGATGGCAGTCTCCATGCTGGAAATGCTGTCTCAGTCTAACTTTCAGTCAACCTAACGACAGGCTGAGAGCTGGAGCTGAGGCGGGTTTTAAACCTCCTGACAAACCGTTACACCGCGCCCACCTGTCAATCAGGTCAGCTACACGCCTTATTGTGAATAACTCTTATCCTTCATCAAATCAAAACTGATGAGTCATCAAAACATTCACCCCCCGTACAGTGTGTGTCCATCCAGACATGAGCTAATCACACCTATTTGGTTTTTTGAACCAGGCTGTAAACATGTTCATCTCTGCTGTAAAAACAGGCTTTTTAGAATGGGTGTGTATGTGACTTCCTGTTCTTCTGCAGCCAGCCTCTAGTGGACACTTCAGGAACTGCAGAATTTTGTACTTCCATATTGACTTTATTTTTCAACATTGATGATTGCCCTTGGCGAAAACCCCCCTATTCTTGGCACTTTTATTGTGAAATGCTCTCATCCATCATGACTCAAAACGGAAGAGTTATCAAAAATTACATTATTAGACATTAAAAGACACAAATAAGAAATTTAAACAGCAAACTTTTGTCAAGATCATCCACAAACACATCAGGGAGAACATTTACAGCCAGATGTGTCCGCCTCCAAGTCAATTAACACCCTCTTAAAATCATCCAATGAGAGCAGATCGTTAAGTTTTAGGTCTTTTTGTGAATTCCAAGTAAATGAAGCAGGAAACTTTAACGCCTTTCCCCCCAGTTCAGTTCCTCCTTTTGGAACAGATACTAAGAAAAGGTCCAGGGATTGAAGATTAGAAGTCCCAGTAATCTTCTGACTGATGGTGGTCTGAAGGTATGTTTGAGGCAGACCTGAAATCGATTTGTAGTAAAGAATATGCCAATGTTTAAGTCTGCGTGTGGTCAGGGAAGACCATCCAACACATTATTAATTTATTTGCTGAGAAATTGGACTTACAAAATTTAGTAATATATCTATTTTTTTAGATTTATATTTTCAAAAGCTGTTTCTCTCAATCGATCCAAAAACAGTGTCATGAAAACAACCTACAAAAAGATAATGGACAGTTTTATCTACAGATTAGAGCAGGAAAATACTTACAAATGTAATTTTCTACTGGCTATTAGGCTAATTAAGTTCAAATTGTATATTATTCGGAATATTATATTAATGAGACAATGTGTCATCTTTTTCTATATATATATATATATATATATATATATATATACACACAGTATATATTTTTTACAGTATATTTAATTTTTATTGAATGTGTATTTAATTTTTCACATGTTTTCATAATTGTATGCATTATTATTATTATTATTATTATTATTATTATTATTATTATTTATTTAAACATAAACTTTATTTAAATCATCATTCAGTGACATTAACAGACAAACAAAGGCAACGACAACGTTCCATCCCACGTGCGCCGTTGTTGTCAGTGAACGCACTTCCTTAGCAACGCGTTCCTGAACCAGGAAGTACTTCTGTATGCTACAGCTGCTAGCCGTTGTTAGCACAGAGGAGAGAAAGTGT